CTATCTATCTATCTATCTATCTATCTATCTATCTATCTATCTATCTATCTATCTATCTATCTATCTATCTAGATAGATATACTGTATGTACAGTATATATAGTGAAATGTTATTTTGTTTCTTGTTGAAGTTCTTAGTTTGAAGTTTAGCTGCTAAAGATGCTACTTGCTACACACACTGCCTGACCCTACTTGTAAGAGAGGATGGTTTTTATTTAATTTGAGATAAATGGCATAAAAATAGAAGTCTTACACTTCTTGAGTTTTTAATGGATTTAAAATTAGCGCAACCTAATTTATCAGACACTAATCAGCCCATAACTATTTCCAAAGTTATCAAAGAATTCTAATCCGCTAAAAGATAAGCTAATGATCAGTTTCACTGAAACTGCCMATCAGGGGGGCACTGGGGAGAAAAAGTGGCCCGGGTGTTCCTGACAGACTGGCCCACCTTCAACTGTTGGTTGAATAATTTTGTTCAAAATAATAAAATTTACAACATTACGTTGTAAATATTATTATAATAAAAACATTTACGTTTGTTTGAGGCCTACTGTGTACCAGTGAAGCTAAATAAATYTCTTTGGTCTGTGAGAGGAAACTGAAGAACTGGTCAAATTCCTGCAGAGGGAGAACATGAAAACACCACTCAGAAAGGTTCCAGGTTGGGCAGGGCCCCTCCCAGCCACCCTCACTTGTTGCGCCCCTGGTGACTGACAGGGAGTGAGAGCGTGTTGGACTGGAGGCGCAATAACTCCTCAAAGACTGCGCRCTCATCATTCAAACCATTGTTCGTAACGCTTTTGCTCTCCTATTTACAGCACCTCCACGGGCCGGACCACCCACAGCCCTTTGGCCCACAAACCCTTCACCAGGAACCCTCCCAGTACTTTTATGCCAGTCCACCCCCAGGTTCCCACCAATGGAAACCACAGATGCTACATCCTCCTTAGAAAGGAGAGGAACCATCAGGCTGTTATTAGCACACAATTTAAAAGCCTGCCTCTCTGATGGTATGGGGGTGCATTACTGGCTCTGGCATGGGCAGCTGATACATCTGGAATGGCTCTATCATTTAGACCATCTCCTAACCCAAGTATTTTTTATTTTAGGGAACGTCTTGCATATTCCAGCAAGACAATGCTAAACTGACCTCAGATGTTTAGTTAAAAGCAGAGGGGACTCTTCTCAGTGGGAAACATGGACCCTGGAGCGGGTTCTTTGGATTTGGGGGTTGTTGCACAAGCCGGTGGTCTCAGGTTGTAACCAGCAGAGACTCCACAGCCTGATTCCTTGTGTCAGCATACTGGGAGCAGTTTTGTGGACGTCCTGCAGCCGCTGAGCTTTGGAGAAAACCAAACTCCATCCTCTGGCGCTGTGTTTGTAGAGCTGAAATACTTGGCATTCTTGCCCACATTGTGCGAGAGYGGCCCGAGTCAACGGTCGTAAAACCGTGTTGCCCAAAGCTAACAGCCCTGATCCTGCAGGATTCAGCCTGAACGCTTCTTGTTTGGGGTTTCCTAATTGACTGTGTTCATTGTGAGCCTGTTTCTGAACACTTGAGCTCCTTTGTACTCAGCTTGACCTGCTCAATTTTTATTACAGATCCTGATGTGTTTTTATCTCCAGGTGTGGAGCCTCACCCCCACCCCCCTCCATCAGGAGGTGGATCAGGATCTGCATGGGAATCTGAATCCACACGACCCTGGACACCTGCGTTGGAGTAAATCTGGGCAGAGGTCACATGTTTCCTGTAAGCTCCCATCAGGCTGACACTCACACAGGGGCCCCCCAGGATCAGCTGTGGAATTATGGGTTGCCCCGAGGCTGAACCAGGTCTGTGATGTTTGGAATCAGTCCCCTAAAGACATCCTTGCAAAGCAATTTCAGTCCCRTTTTTTGTTTTTAAATGGTGAAATTGGTTTCATCCAGTGGTGGGCACAGCTAACTAAAAAGCTAGCTTCACTAGCTATTAATCCGCTAAACAAGTCTTAGCTCTGCTAATGCTAAACCGCTGAATAAATCATAAAATAGCTAATGCTAACCTCTAAAAGAACAGTTTATATTCATCTCCTTTCAGACTAGTAAGACTGACATAAACCTGTTGTTAGTTTTTATTGGTAATAATTGTACTATTATCATTACTTCATCTTTTAACTCCACCCACAAGTCAATCTGACCAATCATGCTTTACTAAACTCCACCCACACCCAAGAACCACAGCTATGCCTACATTCTAAACTCCGCCCACACAGCACAGAACCTCCCCCCACGTACTGCAGCGACCCCTTTTTGCTAATTTGCGAACAGTATTCGAGAAAAAGGCTTGTTGTGTTGTGTGCAGAGAAATATTTAGATATTTAAATTCATTTCATGAAAAATGGGAGCAAAAACAAGTTATTTGCTCATATTTAGTTTCAGTTGTAAAGAACATTTGCACAGTTGGTTTCTAAAGTGTTTTAATTGATGCGTACAATGACTACAGTTTCATTTTTTCATCAGATAGACATTTACAATGCAACTGATCGTTTTATGGTTTGAAACTCTACGTTTCAAAGCTTTTCTCTGTTAAGTGTTTGAGCCTCATATAAACAAGAAACAGTTGTCGGTTCATTTGTATGCATGCAAACACCTCGTATCGTCCACAGATAATATGAAACAAACAATTCTCAGAAACACAGTCAGAGTTCAACGACGGGAAAAGACTGAGGAAAGTTAAAGTTAAAATACACCGACTGTGATAAAAAAAGTCTTTTTACAAAATCAAAAGGTAAAAGCCATTTGGTGCTTTTGTCAAGAATTAAACAAAGAAATATATTTGAATGGTTTAACTTTATTAAAAACCAAGACAAATTTTTGTGCTTTTTTTTCTCTTTTTGAAACATTGTTTATTTTTTTAATATTTTAATCGCCAGCAAGGATTCTTTACAATTTTCCTGTAACCGTAATTTGTTAAGCAATCACACAATTTCAGAAAAAGTTATTAATAAAATACAATAACAAATTGTTCTAAAATTTCTAAATAAAAATGTTGCATTTTACAGATTGTTTTTTTTAAAGGTCAACACATAGACAGATAATTTTGGTTGAATTTTAAAATTAATTACAGGAAGATGTGAGTTTGTAATAATTGGTGTTTTTATATAAATATATTGTCATAAAGCACCGCCCAAAACCTGTAGCTTATATGCTTTAATACCTTTCACAATAAAGTAATATACGATGATTTCTTCCTATATACTGTTATAGATGTGCTTTTAAACAAAATCACTGGTAACACTTATGCAGAAAAATTAACAGATTTAAGTTTTCATGGCACAGTTTAATTGTGGGGAAGAAAATCATATTCAAAAGTGAGATAAAAAGGCAGAACAACAAAAATAATGTGTATTAGTAGGTATCCATTCTTTAAATTTCTAAACAAATGCTTTGTTTGGCTAGCATTAAGGCTTCTTCTTTGTGGTCTGACTTCCTCTTCAACCTTTTTGTGCTCTTTTTGCCCTTTTTCACAAAAATGTGGATCAAACTACAGAAATCCTGATTTTTAGACAACAATAACAAACATTTGCCACAGAGCAGATAAAGCAAGTTCTCTTTACCTGGTGAAGCTCAACACCAAAAAAATAGCTTTAACTTGCTGTTCAGCTCAAACTCACTCCAACAATGAGCTTTAAATGCTAACATCAGCCACCAGCTACGCTACCAGTAGCTACATGACTTGATAATACGATGAGCAACTGAAAAAAAACATTCTTGTTTTCTTGTGGTACATGCTAATGTAATGCCAGTAAAACATTAGCATTAGCTAAAACATATAATTGGCTATAATGCCACATTAGCTAACACATAGCATTAGCCAAAACATAGCTTTAGCTATAATGTTGCGGTGGCCAACAAATAGCATTACTTACATTCTAGCATAGCTACAATGTTAGATGAACTAAACCATACCATTGCAAAAAAGTAGTTAGCCACAATGTAACATTAGCAAAAAATCTGCAGTAGCTAAAACACAGTATTAGAGATAATGCTGCATTAGCTAACAAATTGCATTACCGAAATTGAAACTTAAGGAAAACATATCATTAGCTACAACGTTGTGTCAACTAAGCCATGGCATTAAGAAAAAAGTAGAATTAGCCACAATGTAACATTAGCAAAAATGTTTAATTAGCTAAAACATAATGTTAAACTGTAGCATTAGCTATAATGCTGCATTAATTAATCCATAGCATTACTTAAATTACAGCATTAACCAAAACATTAGCGTGATTGTAGCACTAGCTAAATCATGGAATTATCTTTGCTGTCACAAGCTTTTATTTTGAAAATGGTTTTTATTTCTGTTAATCTGGCCTACTTTTGATGCAAAAATGAAAGAATTTTAAAATGGAGCATCTTTTCTGAATGTGAAAATACTGAATAAATAAAATGCTAACACTAACACCTAGCTTCTCAGCTAGCTGAACGCTAATATGCTGTTTATGTGTGGGTTGGACTGTTTTGTAATCAGAGGGCATTTCAAAGCATCTATTTGACTTTCCTACAAAGCATCACTCTCCACTACTGCTGTGGGTCAACTGTAATAAAAAAAGAACATTTGAACTAATTGTTTTTGCTTTGCTTTGTTGTAGAGTGCTTTAGATGGCATCCCTTTCTGTCTTAGTTAATAAAAACTAATTAAGGAACTAGTGCCCTACTGTAGATAAACGTGAAATTGGCCCAGGACTAAAGTATTCATCGTCTAATTGCAATGAATACCGTTACACCCCTAACTACTTAACGATACATTGTTCCACAGATAAGGTAGATTCTAACCTTTGTAATTGCCCCATTTTATGCTAAACAACGGCCACAAAAAAGTGCAAAAAACACCTTTGTTTAGTACTTTGGCACAGTCAGTATGTAGCACCAAGATGTTCTGCCAAACACACGAGTGGAACGGGGGTCTTAGCACCAGCTGAAGAGGTTATTCTGCCAGCAGTTTTCAGCTCTGTTGAGCTGCCAACGCTTCCTGCTTACAGATGCTCATTACTGAAGAAAAAAAAAAAAGAAAAAGGGGTGATATTCTGGTCTGGGCTGTCAGAGATTTTAACACCTAATCCCACTTTTCACTTTAGTGAACAGCTTTGGGTCAACATGTTGCAACACTGGGTAATCCCTTTTTAATTTTAATTGCTACTCCGGTGTCGTCACTGAGCTACGAGTATGGATGAGCACTAGCAAACACATTTTATGGTTTGCTTTGGTCTATTTAGCAGACAAGAGAGAACAAAAAGGATAAAACTTACATTTTATATATAAAAAATAAAATTTTCTTTGAGAGAGACGTTTTCTGGATTGTCCTAATTCTGTAATTCCAACTAACCAGTGGTGGGCACAGCTCTGCTAACCCGCTAACAGTGAAACTAGCTCCTCATTTAGCAGATTAGCATGTTTGCTGACTTTGAAAACTGCTAACAGATCTATTAGCTTTCACTAAATAAGGTTCTAATAGTTTTAAATCTACTAAAAAAATTCACGAGTGTAAAATTTTACGAACTATCCTCTCTTACAAACAGTGCTGGATGAGTCAGGCACCGTGTGTGTGTAGCATGTAGCATCTCTAGCAGCTAAACTAAGAGCTTCAAAAAGAAATAAAATAACATTTAATAATATTTTAAACATTGAATACAAAACTGACTACATATAAAAATGGTTGAGAAAGTATTTGTTGTTTGACTAACTTCAAACTATTCATAAAAATACAGTCAATCAAAAATTGCTTTTATTCTGAAAGGGGTAAACTGGAAGTATGAGAAATTAAACAGAGCTATCTCCGGTTTGGATTGGTGGAGCCGCCATAGATGATCCCGCCCACCTTCATTTTAAACCAATAGAAAACTAACAGGTTTGTGTCATTCCTGACAGTCGTCTTAGCGGTTAGCATTGGCCTCAGCTAATTTTTAAAACCTGCTAAGCATTAGGGGAGCTAAAATTGGTTAGTGAAGCTAACATTTTGGTGAGCTGTGCCCACCACTGCAACTAATAGTGCTCCTGAAAGAAAAAAATGATGTATTTCAGATGAAACTGCGTGGAGTGAATGGCTTTTTTTTGTTCATATTCGGAGTATTACACATTAAACTCTCATAGACCTCACAAATATACCTTTTTTTAATAAAACATATTTTTTCTGCCACCTGTTTTTTTAAAAGCGCACACGTTTAAAGACAGTCTGTCTGAAGTTCATATGTTACAAACAACAAGTGCTCAAAAGACTCAAATCACATACTCTCACAAACAGAAACAAAAATAGTTAAAGTTCTCCATTAGATTTTTTTTCTTCCTTGTTTTGCTCCAGAACCAGAACCGGAGGTCCAGAAAGTTCTTCAGTCCCGTAGTTCTACAAATGAGCACAGGTAAAATTCAGCTGGTCCCACGACCCGGACTCGGTGCTCCTCAGTCCCTCAGGGTCGCCGTCATTAATTGGTGGCAGTCCAGGTCCCCTCGCAGCTCCAGAGGACCCGGCAGCCTCATGCCCGTCTTCGGATCCACGCACCAGCACTTCCCCCGGTGGCCGTCACGAGCAGGATGGCACTGTGGGCACAGAGGTACAGGAAATTTTAATAAGAGTGTAAAAAGAAGAACGATCAGAATAATCAAGTACTTCAGAACAGAGACGTTTGATCTGGTTTTATTTTAGTTCTTTACTGCAGATTTTAGATTCTTGTCCTTTAAACTGCATGAATGCCTCAGAGTCAAGTGTTTACTTCCTGGATCTGGTGACATCACCATGAACCAACCAACCAAATAAAACAAGCCAACCAACCAACCAACTATCCAACCATCCATCCATCCATCCATCCATCCATCCATCCATCCATCCATCCATCCATCCAACCAAGTAAAACAAGCCAACCAACCAATCAATCAACCAACCATCCAACCATCCATCCATCCATCCAACCAACTAAAACAAGCCAACCAACCAACCAACCATCCATCCATCCATCCATCCATACCAACCAACCAACCAACCATCATCCATCCATCCATCCATACCATCCATACCAAACAACCAACCAACCATCCATCCATCCATCCATCCATCCATCCATCCATCCATCCATCCATCCATCCATCAAGCATGCATCAATCAATCCATCCATCCATCCATCCATCCATCCATCCATCCATCCATCCATCCATCCATCCAACCAACCAACCAACCAACCAACCATCCATCCATCCATCCATCCATCCATCCAACCAACCAACCAACCAACCATCCAACCATCCATCCATCCAACCAACTAAAACAAGCCAACCATCCATCCATCCATCCATCCATCCATACCAACCAACCAACCAACCAACCAACCAACCATCCATCCATCCATCCATCCATACCATCCATCCATCCCTCTCCATCCATCCATCCATCCATCCATCCATCCATCCCAGCAAGCATCCATCAATCCCACTGTCCTGTGGACCTTCTTCAATTCAATTCAAAAATACTTTATTGATCCCAGAGGGAAATTGAATGGACAGAGGACAACTTAATTATTTCTATTTCTATTTAGTGTAGATTACTTCTAAACAATTACTTGCCCATTTCAGTTGTTTTGATTTTATACATTTAGTTCTTGCCTTATATGTGTAGAAATATCTCAGTTTTGTTGCAATAAAACTACTGTACATAGAAATGGAACTCGAATTGGAGGTTCAGAAAAACAGAGGTACGAGTTAAAAAACTGACGTAAATTTCTCAGTTGAACTCAAACCCAACTCTGGAGGAATGCAAATATCACTGTGTGCTCAGAATATGTAAATAACCAACGTGCTCTTTTGGCTCTTCGTGACCAAAAGTCAGTAAAATGACATCATAAATTCTTTTGAAGACATGTTTTGATTTAAAGCAGCATGGCTCAAATCTGCGCTCTTGCATCAGCTTATTTATTGTACGTTAAAGGGATTACATTTGTGACCTAAAGTGGCACGAGATGCATTCTGGATATTTAAATGATTCTCCCAGCGTTCCCTCTGTCAGTTTTCAGTAAATCCAGTTTTTGTTTTTAGAAAAATCCCTCTAAATGAACCCGTTAAGAATCTCTGAGCAACTCTTGCTCAAAATGAGTCCCAGTCGTTTTTTACGACCTGAGCTGTTCTGTCCTGCTGGGTTTTTATCTCGGTGCTGTTTTAGTTAAAAAGTAAACAGATGCAGCAGAACCTGAGACGACCCAAATGCTTTAACCACGTTCCACAATCAATAAAAAAAAGCAACAGACGTTTGATGTTTGGAGCTTTTCTTTTATCGCAGCTGAGAGTGGCCTTATCTCTGTTTTTTTTTCTTCCTGTTCTGAGTCTCTCAGTTTTATCTGAATGTTTGTTCAACCTCAACAGAACCATAGAAACTGCTTTTTCTGTGAAAATCCAGCATGAGTGACTGCTGAAAACAAACTGGTAAAGCTAAAAGAGGCAAAACATTATCTAAAAGCTAAAAGGAGAAAAACGATGGAAAAAATTCCAAAAGCTAGTTTTAACATAAAAGTAGAAATAAGTTTTAAAAAGGTAAAAGTACAGAAACAAGGCTAGCTAAAAACCTCTAAATGCTAAAACGCTAGTAGATACAAGTATCAAAAGGCTATACAGTTAAAAGAGGCAAAAGGTTATCTTAAAGCTAAACAAAAGTAAAGTGGTGGTTGAAAGCTAAATATAGTGAAAGTCTAGCTAAAAATTAACACAGGCTAGTTAGAAAATAAAAGTAGTAAAAATTTTTACAAAAAGTTAATTCAGCAAGATTTTACCAAAAATTTTAAAAATAGCAAAATTGCTAGCTGAAAGTTAATAGTGGCAAATGGTCATGGTAAAAAGCCTTTTGCTATTTTAGGGTTTTAGCTAGCCTTTTCCAACTTTTAAGTTTTTTTTWAACTTTTATGTTTTAGCTAGCCTTTACTAACGTTTAGTGTTTAGCTATATTTTGCTACATTTAGGTTTTACTAGCTTGTTGTTACTTTTAGGTTTTAGCTAGTGTTTTGCYACTTTTAGGTGAAAGTTCTTTACAACATTTAGTTAGCTTTTTGCTACCTTTAGCTTGTAGCTAGTGTTTTTCTCATTTAACTTTCGGCTCAGTTTCAGCTTCAGAACACAGCATTCATCTTATTCTTTTACGTTTGCGTCCTCATGACAACAGGGCTCCATGGATCCACAGACCGAGGACCGGTCTGCTCAGTGTTTCAGTTCTGGGTCGGAGTCACGCACCTGTTTGGGGTGGAAGTCTCCGTTCTTGTCACAGTTGGGGATGGGGATGGTGAAGAGGTCATCGTGGGTGCGGCTGTTCGATCCCAACCTGTCCAGCGCTCGCTGGAGCTCAGCGCGACACGGCGCCTGTTGAAAAYAAACAAATAAGTTCTGGTCCGAGATTTTTAAACACCTGACAGAAAACAAATGACTATTCCATGAAAGAAAGCTTATCACCCGCTCAGTGTGTGTTATATGTGACTCTCAGCTACTACCACATATAATTTATCGGGGCTCTCGCAAATGCGACCTGATTTCCTAATAGTGCGACTAAAAAAAAATGTCCGGTCGCACTGGTGCGACCAAACGTTCGAGGGGAGGGGGAGCGGTCGCCMGCTGAAAAAAGTTTCCATKTTCCATAAAAATAACCCAGCAGTATCAATGGTCGCCCTCCGACAGTCTCATCTCTCCTGATAACACTGAGCTCTGCTCGCGGCTCCGCTCCACACCTCCGCACACACGTTTGTTTTTCTATCCTCATTAGTGCTGTACCAAATGATTATTTTCTAATCCATTAATCTAACGATTATTTTTTTTGATTAATCGATTATTCTAACAACAAATCTATAAGTTATTCTGATGTGAGTGCACTGGAAATTTAAAATGTTTTCATCAAATTAACAAGAACAGTTCTTTAATATTGTAATATTTTCTTCAATAGCTTTTTCATGGACACAAAATATGCACTCTAGAGTCAATTCTTTAACAAAAAAAAGCTTAAAAGATTTAACATCAACATAAAATCTCAACCAAAGCTTATAAAATTCAAGTAAAAGAAATATAGTGCAAGATGTTAACAATCTAACAAATGAACTAAATCATACAAAATTCAAGTCACTCTGGAAAAACTATAATAAACATTTATTTATTATTTTTTATTTAACATATATATAAATGCTATATTACCTTATACTGTATGTATTAGCTCAGCGCTAGTGCGACAAACAAGCTAAGCTGAGGTCCTCCATCCATATTTTCAGTTACAGCTGAGTCATTTTTGTGTTCCCCTCTCTGTCATGTGGATGGAGGACCTCAGTGATGAGAGGAGAATGTGTAGCGCTGAGCTAATAGATATATATGGTGATAGCATCGAGGCTAACACTAAAGCTAACAGGCTAATCTGAGGTTCTTCCATGAAGCAGCTCTGTTGTCCTCCATCCATATTTTCAGTTCCAGGCTGAGTCATTTCTACCTTCTCCTCTCTGTCAACGCTCTCTGGTTTCATTTAAAAGAGTCGATCATCAGATATTGTCCAAGATTAACCTTCAGGGTGGATATAGCTCGCTAGCAGCCTCGCACYGAGGACCTATCCACGTCATCATTTACCCAGAATGCTTTGTGTGGAAATAAAATGGCTCTGTCCGTGTTAAAATATATTTTTAAACTTTGTTTAAAAAGGATAAAAACTAAACAGCCTACAGTATTTTTACAGTCTTTATTTTACAGTTAAAATATATGTTTATCTAGCCTGGCCCTTGCCTTCCTACGCAGCTCCGCTCAATTCTAGTTTCCTTCTCTGCTCCGTCTGGGACTTCTCCCATTGAGATGGATTTCACTGGCAGATTTTTAGCCGGGCCAATCAGAGAACAGAACGTCAATTTTCTGCACAGTGTCTGCTTGTAGTTTATTTTACCTGGGCCAATCAGAGAACAGAAGGAGGAGCTTTGAATGACGTCGACTTTCTGCACAGTGTCTGCTAGTTATTTTAGCATACAGCAGTGGAGGAAGTGAATGAAGCCAGTCTGTGTTGATAAGGCTYCAAATTAAAATAAATTAGTCTGATAAAGCAGCAGCTCTCATTTACAGTCGTCTCGTTTGGCTCAGTACTTCTCTCCTCTCAGTAGGGTTGTTTACAGCACACGCGATTTCCGGTTAGCTTCTTAGCTTAGCCTCCTTCACAGCGACATACGTCGCAGCCAACTGATCCAATCATTTTAAACTTCAGCAGAGGCCACGCCTCCCGCAAGAAATCGATTCTCTATGCATCAAGTCCAGACCCTCGTACGAAGCAACGTGAAGGACAGGGTCTGGTTTAAACCAGGCTGTTTATCAAATAAGGTCTAACGTTACAACTAATTGTGGATCCCTTTAATTTTGGCCCTCGTACTGCATCATAAATCTTAGCTCAGCATCTACAAAACTGATTGCATCGTAGCTATTTTGTGTAGGCTAAGGTTGATTAGCTGTGGCAGCCATTTTGAATGAAGTTAGCTGTGTTTCAAGAGATATTTTACAAACACGAGTAAAAACATTTCACTTTTTGGCAGCGGGTGATTTTAGGACCTCCAAAGTTGTTTATAGTTATATTTACAGACTAGAGTTACGTCAGTTTTCGGTTGAACATGTTGCGTATTTGCTGAAAATATTTATTGGTCTAAATATTCCTGGTTTTGACAATCTTCTGGATGGTTGCGTGCGAACMGATCCGGTTCGGTCCAACAAGCTGTAATGATTAGTGTCGGGGTGTGAACCTGGTGACACGTATGTGTTTATGCTTATGGTAAAGACCATGAGCCTGGCACTCATTAATCCACACATTCACATCACTTCTTTCTGTTTTTAGCTGCCAGAATATAATTGCTGATCGCTGATGTCAGTGTGTGTTCGAACTTTTATTTCCCAGGACTCTTATTAAGTGTTCTGGTCTGTAAATAACTAATTTAAAGAATTTACAACCTGACTGTTGCACTTTGGAGCCATAAAGGCTTAATGTGAAACACCTGCAGGGGTTCAGCCACGCTGCAGCTCGAGCTGCGCCGCTCAATGATTTTTCTCACCAGAACCAGCTTGGTCTCGTCTCTGGCGCCRTTGCTCCTCAGATTGATGGACTTCAGTGGGTGTCGGGCCAGGGTCCTCTGGATGCAGCGCTTGTCCTGAGGGCTGCAGCGGATGTTGCTGTTGTTTGGGTGTTCGGGGCTGATCTCCTCCTGTCTGTCCATCGCTAATAACAACAAAAACAACAACAGATAAACAAACAAATAAATGAGCTAGCTCAGTCTGGGTAAATACACCGTGAAGGCTGAGAGCTGAAATCTGTTGAAGAAGCTGAAACAAAGTTGTTGAAGAGGAAACAATCAGGACAAAAGCTAAAGATTAAAATCACCAAAACAGAAGCTAAAACAAGTAGAGCTGTAGCCAAAAACTAACAAAACTCCAGCTAAAACTAATAAATTTGTATCTATAAGCTAACAATAGCTAAAGGTTAAAACCACAAAAACTGTAGCTAAAGGCTAAAACAMGTACAACAGCAGGTTAAAGTGCCTGTGACATGCACATTCATGAAATACAAAACATCAAATAAAACATATTTATATTTAAGAAACTTGGTGTAATAGACACGATTTTACCCATTTTGTCCCATAACTGGCCTATTTTCTTTTAAATTTTGCTCAGACAAAATGAAACAGGAAGTGACATCAAAGGGGAATTCTTCAAGAAATTAAACCCTCTGGTTTTTGTTTATAAAAGCAATATTTTTTGAACTCTGACTCTTTCTCATCTCTATTATAGTAATTAAAATAATCTAAAGAAACATCAGATTCTTCTTCACAGTCTGTGTTGTCAGCCATTTTAGCAACGCTCTGTTTACATGCAGACATTCCCCTGTGACATCACTTCCTGTTACTTTACATGCAAATATCTCAACAGCATGAAATCTTTTTTACAATATGTTATCTTTCCAAAAATGCATTCATGTTTATTACAAAAAATTGATGTCACAGGCCCTTTAAATGTTAGAATTAGCTAAATAGTAGAAGCCAAAATTAACAAAGCTAAAGCCTAAAACTAGCAATTTAGTAGCTGAAACTAGTAAAGCAGTAGCTACATGTTAAAACTTCAAAAATTGTAGCAAAAAGCTGACACAGGTAGAACAGAAGCTAGAAGCTAAAATTAGCGAAATAGTAGAAAGGAGCCAAAATAAACAAAACTATAGCAACAAGCTAAAACTAGCATATTTGTATTTAAAAGCTAAAACAAGTAAAGCCTGAATTAGCAAATTGGTGCTTAAGCTAAAATTAGCTAAACAATAGCTAAAACCTAAAACTAGCAATTTGGTAGCTTTATGAAGTGGCTAAAAGCTAAAACTAAGAACTGTAGAGAAAAGCTAAAACAGGTAGACCAGAAGCTAGAAGCTAAAATTTGTAAAATAGTAAATGCCAAAATGAGCAAAACTATAGCAACAAGCTAAATGTAGCATATCATATCTAAAGGCTAAAACAAGTAGAATAGCTAAAAATTAAACCCATCAAAATAGTAGCTAAAAGCTAAAAGAAGTAGAACAGTAGCAAAAAGCTAAAATTAGATAAATTAGCAAAACACTAGCAACTGTAGCTAAAAGCTTAAACTAGCAGAATAGTGGCTAAAAGCTAAAGCTAGTTGAACAGTAGCAACAAGCTAAAATGACTACACATTGCTAAAAACTAAAATTAGACATAAAAAAACACAGCAGCTAAATGTGCTAAATTAAGAGTTTAGTTCCCTGAAATGAATTGTTACATTTTTAACTCTCAGTGCAGATTTTAAATTTAACTTCATTTTTATCACTTTGTGATTCTTAACACCAGTTTGTTTAACTACTTAAATGAGATTTCAAATAAAGTGAAAGGTCAACAGAGTCAGTCTGATGATGTAATGATGCTGGAGTTTCAGGCTGATTTCTGGGTTTCTTCAGAGACCCCCTACCCCCCCCCCCCCCCCCCCGAAAAGGAGCTAAAACTAGACTCAGTCTTGTTGCGGATGCCCTGGTTGGGGGGTCTGTGTCCTGGTTCAGCAGTCTGCAGGCCCCCCAGCAGCTCTGACACTCTTTGAAATGACGCCACTCTCTGCGTGTTGTGGTCAGCACCACATTCACCTTTGCATCACTATAATTGTGCAGCTCTGCAGCCCTGGAGGCACCCAGCTGCTTCCTGAGGAAACCACCCCCCATCAACACCAGCCTCAGCCAGATGGAGGCTGTTAGAGGAAATTTACACMGACACCAGTGGGCACCGGTGTGTGTGGTGCTTTCATGTGGTGGACAAAGAGCTCAGAGAGAAGCAGCAGGAGGAGAAAACCTGACCCCCCTCTTGGTCCCATCCCTGAACCAGATGTGGGTTCTGATCCAGGTAGCGGCCTCTCWTTCTCAGAGCTGGAGGTGAAGTCAGGACCCAGTTTCCATCAGCTGTTTGTATTTTTAGCTCTGCAGGCGTGAAGTGGGATCATCAGCACTTTGTCTCGTCCCTTCACTCCTTCTGGCCGAGCCTCGGGGTTTTCGATGTGGGTCAGGGGTGGCGTGTCCTGTTTGCTGYCCCCGCTGTTTTCCATGGAGGAAGTTGCCACTTCTTTGTGTGGTTTCACTTAATTTGAATCTCCACCCTTTGGTATTTTTCAGCTTTTCAACRTTATTATCTCTGATGCAGTTGGGTGTTATAGATGACTCAGAAGACCCGAACTGATYGGAAATGCTGAGTCAGAAAAAGTGTTTTTAGTTTAAAGTAAAAAGAACTTAGTTTCATTAAAAACAAGTGTTCACTTAGTGCTTAATTAGTTATTTGTTTTAWAGACTATTATACTGTTCATTCACAAGTTTCAGGAGCGGGTGGGCTTAAAAAAAGGTATGAAGCGGCTGACCACCTGTAGGGTGAAGGCCAGGGGGTTTACTGGGGAGAATAGATGACTCATAARAGACACAAAGGACTGTCCCTCCCCTGGACATGTCCAAACCATCTCAGTGTTGTCTCTAACTTTATGTCTCAGTCCTTCAGCCTGGTCTGTCCCTCTAATGATCTCAGTCMGTCCTTGTCCCTCTCAAGGAGAACCTCARCATCTTCAGCTCTGACATTTCCAGTTATGTCCCCTTTGTCCATGTCTCTGTGCCGTATGACTAAAAATGAATGCTGTGATACTTTGGTGCCTGTTTGTGATATATGTTACTCATGCAGGATGGGAGGAGTCAGCTGTGATGCATTAGGACCGCCTCCTGAGAAAAGCTTAACTATGAGCTAATAAATATATATTAGAATCTATAATCACTGGACGTCCACTCCTGGGAAGATTATTAGCCGTTTTAAATATTTTCCAGGTGTGAATATGATCTCTCTCTGTAGAAAGATAGACTCTATATGACCTTTGACCCTTCACATATTGACAGGCAGCGACATTTGTTTCTCTGAGGTCACTGCTGATGTGTTTCTGCCTCAGCGTTGTGTTAACACACCTCTATAATCCAGATAAATGAGCTGATCGTGATCAGTTAATCAATGCTTGTTCAGCAGCTCCTGAATGGAGTGACTTGTTTCTTCTTAATTTTGTCAAATAAGTAATAAAACAGTGTAATATGTTATTTTTTTATATATCTGAGGTTTTGTTTGCCTCGTTTAAAAAGCTCAAACTGATATTTTTTATGTTCTGATACAAAAAATGAAAATAATCTATCGACTGTCATTTGTGTCGTTGCACAACATCTTTAAAAACACACAGAAAACAATGTGAGCAAAATGATCTTTTGAACTTTAGTGTTCAGCTTCTCATTTTTAGTTAATTTTCTTTAAAAAGAAACACCATTCTGGTTGTAGTTAGTGGTGCAACTGGTTTAAAAAAACACATATGGTAACTGTTTTTCTTTTAAGTCCTCTCTTGTGTATTTGTAATAATAATAAAAAAAACGCATGGATGTTAACCAGAAAATGATCGTGTTAAAAATTCACATTAAGGTAGACGAATAAAACACAGYGACATGATTCTAGCCGATGCATTGGCTCCTCCGCCAGATGAGTCATAAAACAAAACTCTATATGACAGAGATTTAATGTGAAATATAATAAATCACCACGGCAGTTTTATTCTTCTAAACTGCAGCTCAATCAAGATCAAACCGGTTTTAACGAAACTTAAAATGAACTATACAAAGAAGAAATAAAAACACTGATTAAACCAGACAGAGCGGCTTATTCTCCACCAACAGAGACTTTTAAAACATTCTGGCAGCGAGTTCAAAAGTCATCCCGGCTCGGCACCAAAAGGCTTTTCTTCTCAGTCAACACGGGATCCTGCCAGAGTATCAGTGTCAGACTTTCAGCTTCCAGGGAAAATATTTCTCAAAATCAGTTAATCATCAGCTGATGTCTCATTCTGTTGTACAAACACTGCAAGAGACGATCAACAAAGCCTGTGAGAGCTGTCCCCACCTCTCTGCAGAGCCATTTGTCAATGGAAAGACTTACAGAAGACTAAAGCAACACTCCATCATGAACACAAGACACCAGCCGCAGCGCCTCGCTCTGCTTCCAATTTAACTCCAGCCTAAACAGAACAACATGTTTGTGCAAACACAAACGGAGAAGTACACTGAAGCAACAAATCTGAAAATTAAATCTGCATACTTTCAGTTTGAGTGCAGATAATTGTATTGATGAGAATCCACAGCCGATTGGTGAAAAWTTTACCCCAAACTGGAGCCGGTGCCTGAATTCCCATCACCTTTTTTGTGGCAGCTTAGTCTTTTCCTGAAAGGAAATAACTTTGTTGACTTTAAAAATTGTGTAAGGCTTCAGCCTGAGGCTTGAAACGTTTACCAAGCCAGATATAACACCCACAAAAGGTGTGGATCAGATACAAAAATACGCTTAAAAGGGTCGAGCAGAACCTCTTCCAGATGGATCATCAACAAGACAAACACTGTCCTTCATCCTGTCAAATTCGTTTGGATCAAAGCATCGTCCACTTCTTCCTCCCAGAGTCTTGGTTAGAAAGGAATTTTATTATTTGTCTGGATAAAAACAGAATCTGAATTTAGGTCTGTTATCCAACAATATTATTTGGGATTGCACATCTTTAGCCACAAAAACAAAGCTCCAGTAAACCTAGACTTTATTTATTTATTTATAAATTAGATTTGATAAAATATCAGAGAAATAATAACTAAATTAAACGTGATTACATTGTATAATGCAAGCTAATTAAAAGCTAACTTCTTGACGCAGTGCATGATGGGAAAGTAGCTRCACGGTCAATGTGGTTAGCGGTGATTCGGTCCTGTTCTTTCGGGGAACSATTCAAATTGCTGCTGGTTGGAAGTTGGAACATTTATCTTGACCCAGTTTGAGATATATTTACGAGCTGTTTTTTAAAATTTATTTTATGTTTAGGCGCGTATTCAAAGCTGCTCACAGGTTGCTAATTAGCGGCTAACATCACGGCTAATCACTAAGCTAGCACGTTGCTAATCAAAATAATTAAATTTAATGTGGTAATTAGTCGTCTTTTAAGATTCCTAAAATTTACTTGTAGTTTTAAAACATGTAATTAACCAGCAGGAAGGATGTTTTTCACCTGGTGACRTGGATAACAAGCTCCAGCCTGGTTAGCGGACACCGCCCCGATGGAKCCCAGGAGACGGAACTCCGACACGGCGACAGCCACACCGCCGTCCGGCGGTCCTCTGCATCCGGTGAGTGAGTGTCAATGAGTTGATTAATAATATGTTTGTAGGAAATCTGAGCTGCAACCACTTTAATCAGTAAAGCTTTACTAGTCTTAACATTATAATCTTCACGTAGCAATTTTTATGTTGCAGATAACTTTTTAATTTAACGTGAGGAATTTAAATGATGTCATATTTGAATACTAGATAAATAAACAAACCAAAACACAGTTATGTGAAGGGTTCATATTATTTAGATGCATTCAGAAAACACATTAAAAATAAGTTGTGCACAAAAATATTAAATGAATGCAGTAGACTACAAATTTAAAAATGCCACAAAGATACAAAAGCTGTTTGTTGGGATACAAAAGGACACACAGTATAACTTGAGACAGAAGGACATAAGGAGACATAATGACATAATGGAGACAAAAAGGACGCATAAGGAAATGAAGACAAATAAGGAGACATAAAGGGGAGATATTATGTGACAAAATATTCAAAAAGGGACCAAAACAGAAACAAAAGGACACATAATGAGACAAAAAGGAAGCACAAGGAGACAAGAGCATGCCTAAGGAGACAAAATGGGACATATAAAGAGACAGGAGATGCATAAGGAAACAAAAATGGCTCAAGGAGACAAAGAGAAATAAAAGTTGCAGAAAAATTATGATRAAATGCATGAAAAGTCAAACAAGTGTTTTCTCAAACCTCCAATAAAACCATTTTTTATTTTAGCAGGATTTTTTTCTGTTTTTCCTAATAAAATTTGTTCAGAACATTTTTATATGTTAAAGTAGTTGTCTCTGACCATTCACTGCCCTCCAAACAGTCGTGTCTCATGACCCGGACAAAGACTGTTTGTGTTTGTCTCAGGAGGTGGTCCCTGTCCCACGGAGGACAACAGTGAGATAATCACTTTTACTCCTTCATATAAGCTCCAGCTGTACAAATATGTTGCACGGCCTAAAAAAAGCAAATAGTCAGAAACATCTGCTGACGGAGATCTGAGAAAAAAAGCTCGATTTAACAAGCCCTGAGWGAGCGCCAAGAACTGGAGAGAAAACGTGTTTCACTAATTTAAAACATTTAAACATGATAAAATGTTCTTATTGCGAAGCTGAAAGTCCTGTTTTCTTCAGCACACTGACAGACTCTCAGCTCGGCTTAATTGATTTGTATGAAACATAATTAAAATCAAAAGTTAAATGAAGAGATTTATGTATAACAGAAAACATTCCTGCTGTCAACACGTTTTAATTTGTTTTATTTTGTCATTTTTGGGTGAACAGTTTAAATTGTCAAAAGTWACTAGATAAAACACAAGTTTCCTCTAAAAAGGCAACATAAACTCTAAAGAGGTTGCTGGCATTTGATGGAAAAGTTGCCAGAGAGATGATTTTCTGCTGAACTTTCAGTGATCGTTTTGAAATATTTGAACAAGAGACAAAAACAGAAGGTCAGACAGTGAAAAGTTAAAGACATAAAAGACACAATGGACGGTTGAAGGAGGCAGGAGACTAAGAAGACACAAGGATACAAAAAGTACAGATAAGGAGAAAAATGGATTAATAAGGAGACTAAATGGACACATTAGGAGACAAAATAGACACAAAGAGACAAAAAGGACTCATTAGGAGACTAAAGGATGCATAAGAACACAATAAGGACTCATATGGAGATAAAAGGATGCAGAAGGAGACAAAATGGACACATTAGGAGACAAGAAAAGATGCAAAAGAAGGCAATGTGAACACATAAAAAGAAAATATGGACACAAAAAGACAAAAAGATGCATGGAGACAAGGTAAAATGTACAAAAAGTACATATTAGGACACAAACAGACATATTAGAGGACAAAGGACATATTAGGACAAAAACAGACATAGTAGGAGACAAAAAGACATTAGGAGACAAAAGGACATATTAGGAGACAAGAAAATATGCAAAAGAAGGCAATATGAACACAAAAAGAAAATATGGACACATAAAAAGACAAAAAGATGCATGGAGACAAGGTAAAAGGTACAAAAGGACATAGGAGACAAAAAGACATATTAGGAGACAAAATGACATATTAGGAGTAGTGCTGCCACAAACAATTATTTTTATAATCGATTAATCACCGATTATTTTTTCGATTAATCAACTAATCAGATCATACATTAACTGAATATAAAACATACAGCTTATCGTGCCAGAATGCAGCTGCTATTATATAACCATGGTTAGATTTTAGCTATATGCTAACTAAAAATAATTGCTGTGGAAGGTAAGTTCTGCTCTGCAGATATTRCACAGGTTTCTCTTTCATTTTCTTAAAATGATCCCACACTTTGAGCTCTGTTGTCAGGTAGCCATGATACCAGAGCCTGTCTGTATAATGTCTTGTGACGTCCACGGCCTACCCCAGTTACCACTACTGTGCATGTGTGTCAAGGACAGAATGGTACTGAACTTATAGAGCGCTTTTCAAGTCCCTCCGGACCCCAAAGCGCTTTACACTAACAGACATTCACCCATTCACACTCACATTCACACACTGATGATGGCAAACTACACTGTAGCCACAGCTGCCCTGGGGCGCACTGACAGAAGCGAGGCTGCCATACATCGGCGCCACCGGACCCTCTGACCACCATCAGTAGGCAAGGTGGGTGAAGTATCTTGCCCAAGGACACAACGACTGAGACGGCTGGACGGGGGATCGAACCAGCAACCTTCTGGTTCCAGGACGACTCCCCTAACCACTCCGCCACAGCCGCCCCAGAAAGGTAGATGTGGCAGTGGAAGGTGTCAAAACAGTTTGGAGAGAAAAACAAAATAAAAAAAGATTAATCGATTGTTAAATTAGTCATCGGTTATTTTAATAATCGATTAGTCATCGATTAATCGATTAATCATGGCAGCCCTAATTAGGAGGCAAAATGACATATTAGGAGACAAAAGGACATTAGGAGACAAGGAAGCAAGGTTGCTGATAGGGCTGCATCGATTAATCGACAACTAATCGATTATTAAAATAATCAATGACTAATTTAATAATCGATTAATTGTTTTCTCTTTTTTGTTGTTCACTTTGTTTTTCTCTCCAAACTGCTTTGACACCTTCCACTGCCACATCTGCCTTTCTGTCATTGACACACATGCACAGTAGTGGTAACTGGGGTAGGCCGTGGACGTCACAAGACATTATACAGACAGGCTCTGGTATCATGGCTACCTGACAACAGAGCTCAAAGTGTGGGATCATTTTAAGAAAATGAAAGAGAAACCTGTGTAATATCTGCAGAGCAGAACTTACCTTCCACAGCAATTATTTTTAGTTAGCATATAGCTAAAATCTAACCATGGTTATATAATAGCAGCTGCATTCTGGCGTGATAAVCTSTRTGTTTTATATTCAATTAACGTATGATCTGATTAGTCGACTAATCGAAAAAATAATCGGTGATTAATCGATTATTAAAATAATCGTTTGTGGCAGCCCTAATTACAATATTAAAGAACTGTTCTTGTTAATTTGATGAAAACATTTTAAATTTCCAGTGCACTCACATCAGAATAACTTTTAGATTTGTTGTTAGAATAATCGATTAATCGAAAAAATAATCGTTAGATTAGTCGATTAGAAAATAACTGTTTGGTACAGCTCTAGTTGCTGAGGATTTCAAAGACTGGAAGTCTGTAGAGGGCTTGAAGAGATCTTAATGCATTAGATGAAGACAAACTGGTGAAACAAGTATAAAAGTGTCTAAAATGGAAAGTTTCAGCTTAAAAGTCCTGAATGAGCCGAATGTTTTGATACCTGAGCAGCTGAAACAGCTGAACGGAGCTGAAGTGGTTAATGAACAAAAAGCTAGAAACATGAAAGTTAAGGTTTTATTAAAACATGAAGTGACAACATGTTCTGATCCAACTCCCCGTCCCTTCTCAGGCCCCCTGCTGCGCTTTGATGTGGGGAAGGGGGGACCACGCAGCGGTCCACGCCTGGACCCGGTTCTGTGTGTGCGTCACAGTAAACTGAGCACCGACACGCAGCTCCCACTGGACCCGCGAGACGTTCCAGAACTGGTTAGTAAATTATATCCGTCCTCGCCGCCGCAGAGACGGGTCCAACTCACCGACACCGGCCTCCACCTGACACCGGGGTCCACCCAGCAGGAATGCAGGAACGGGCCAAGACACGCACCAGCATCTGTTCCTGGGACTCTGAGGGTTTCTAGGAACTGAATATTGAAGCCATCTGAGACCTGGTCAGGAGAGCCAGGTCCTGTTGTTGTTGCCATGGAAATGCACTTTAAAACAAAAGCACTCATCCTTCAAACTGAGATGTTAGGGTTTTTTCATGTTAGCTCATCTTAGCTAACATGAAAAAGGCTCAAACTTTCTGCAAACCAAGGTAAAATGTGCTGTTAGCTGAAGGTGGAGAGTGATGGATGATTCTCCTGCAGGCTGCAGCCAACCAGCCCAAACCAGGATGTGCTCCGTCTCTGCTTCCTTCATTATGAATCCTCCTGTTTTTAAAAACCCTCCTGCTATTTTTATCTTGTTGCTAGGAGTGGGGCAAGTTTTCTGGAGATGCACCCCCATGTTTAATAATACATAAGTCCACAGAGGAACTCTGCTGCTTCTGGCTGGACTCGATTTTCGCTTCTTCTCCCCCCATCTTCTCTTTTTTTTATTTTTAATTGTTCCTCCTTTTTGTTTTGGACTTGCAGACCTGAGCTGATCTGATTTACGGGGGCGAAACTTCACTGTTTGTTATGTTGGACCCCCCCGGAGCAGAAAAGGGGGAGGGGGGGGTGATCAGATTACACAACTGAAACACAAAACTTTCTAAAATGTTCCCCCCAGAATGCTGCCGTCCAGATTCAGAGCC